CACACACACACACACACACATACACACACACACACACACACACACACACACACACACACACACACACGCACACGTGTCTTCCTGCCAGGCTTGTCCATGGGGTCCCATTAAATCGTTGGAGACCTGTCTTCAAATGGACTCACCCTTGTATTCACATTAATGTGGAAATTGGCTCTCAGTCACCTATAGATCTATTGGTTCAGGTTGTGTATTTTGCATCCCACTTCCTCTGCTTGTTTTCTGACGTGAGTTTTGTAGCTCAAAACAGCTGTCCATACACTTCAAGATGCTGCTTATGGTCCCAGGGCCTGCATTCACACTCCAAATGGAAAAATAAAATATAACCTGAGACTGTCTGCTTACTTTGAGGACCATCTATCCAGGCAAGGGCAGCTCCCTATGAATGGCATACTGGAAGCCAGGCTCAGGGTGTTCAAACAGACAGAAGCGAGGTGTGGAGGGCTTGAGTTGTTCTGAGGAAAAGCAGAGAATGGAGGAAGACAGAGAAACTGGGAAAAGACAATCTACCTTCCCATGTTTCCTTGCAGTTCCTGATCAATAGTATAACCTTTGCTAATTGTTCTGCTGTGTGTGTGTGTGTGTGTGTGTGTGTGTGTGTGTCTCCGTGAATGTTTGCATGTACACAGTAGTTCTGGGCCTTGAATTCAAGGGCTGGGCACTGGGATGTCAGGATGAATGTGAGCAAGTATATCATATCCGTGTGTGGAAGTAACTCCATCAAACCTCTCAGTGTGTGCAACTAGTATATACTAATGAAAGTGAAAAAATGATTAATCAATGCTCAAACTCCTTCCTAAGCTATTTAGAGATAACTTTAAAAAGTATGAGAAAGCATTGTTGGTAGGGGATATGAAAACAGCTAGTTAAAACTATGGGATTATTCAAGCCAGGTCCTAGTGGCTCATACTTGTACTCCTAGATGCTCAGGAAGCTGAGAACTAAGGATCATTATTTGAAACCTGCCTAAGCTGGAAAGTTATGACACTCTATATAAGATATACTACTCAGAAAAAGCTCAAAGTGGTGCTCTGGGACTCAAGCGGTAGAGTGCCCTAAGTTCAAACCACAGGACTGGCAGAAAAAAAAGAAATAGTCCAAACTTAAGATGTCTAGGGAGTTTTAGAATAAATATCCTATAAAAACAAATTACTATATCTTGGGGTTCATTTGTTGTTGTTGTTTTAGATTTATTATGTAAGTGTTTGGTTTCCTTTGTATATTCTTCCCCCTGTGGTATATCCCCTGTTGTCACTGTGCTTGACTTTGATACCCTGCATCTTGTAGATACATTTTTCTAATTTGGGGAGGGGAAGGGAAATAACAAAATGCTAAAACAAGGACACAGGATGACCCGTTGCAACAATGACACCCATAAGACAGTATGTTGGAAATGAACTTTGCAACTTCGGGTGGGGAGGGGAGGAGTGTGGGAGGTGGGGGAGGTAAGGGATAGTGGAAGATAAACAAGGGAAGGGGTAACAATGCTTGACCAGAAATGTACTCATTGCCTTATTTATGTAACTCTAGCCCCTCTATAGACTCTTTACAATAAAATAAAATTTAAAAAATGAAAAATAACTAGTTACAGCTAAAGTAGGAAAGGAAAAAAAAAAAACCTTTCACCCACTGGCCTGTGGCAACAGTAATTAGAAATATACAGTCAGTACAAATAAATTGCAATCCCCCTACAGATTCATGCCTATGGCTACTTCACCTTCTTTGTCCCCAGGGGAAAGTCAGGAGAAATCAGTACAAGCTTCTATCCTGTGACTACTCAATACCTGTACCAAGATTGTCATCTGTAGGATATCAGATGGAAAAAGTCAACATTCCTTCCAAAAGGGTCTCAAATGAGTCTTATAAACCATAGCCTCCTACTGTCCTGATTTAAATCTTATTTCCCTTCCCAAGCTACAAATACATATAAACTTGTGGAGGCCTCTAGAGAGATGGACAAAGACTTATAAAATATATACTATATTTCACACCTGTAGAAAACTAAAACTAGATCCTTATATAGCACCCTGCAACAGAATCAACTCCAAATGGATCAAAGACCTTGGAGTCAAAGCAGATAGCCTGAAAACATTTCAGGAAGGAAAAGGAAAACCTCTAGGTCTCCTTGGCACATGCCGAAAATTTCTTAATAAAGGCCCAGAAACACATAAAATCATAGAAAGGTTGGACAAATGGGATTGCGTGAAACTGCAGAGCTTCTGCATGGCAAAGGACATAGCTAGCAAGATCAATAGAAAGCCCAAATACTGGGAGAAGATCTTCACTAGCCATACAATGGACAAGGGTCTCATATCTAAAATATATTTAGAACTCAAAAAATTAAATTCCCCAAAAACCGATCCTCAAAGAAACAACTGCCCCATGAATAAGTGGGCTAAAGACTTAAAGAGAAAGGTCTCTGAAGAGGAAATAGGAATGGCCAATAGACACATGAAGAATAAAAATGAAACTCAAGACAATGTTGAGATTCCACCAGTTAGAATGGCTATAATCAAGAACTCTAATAATAACAGATGATGGAGGGGATGTGGTCAAAAAGGAACCTTACTGCATTGTTGGTGGGAGTGTAAACTTGTTCATCCACTTTGGAAAGCAGTATGGATATTCTTCAATAGACTCCACATAGAGCTTCCCTATGACCCAGAAATCCCACTTTTGAGCATTTACCCAAATGATCGCAAACAAGGCTATATTAAAGCTACCAGCACAATTGTTTATTGCAGCATTATTTACCATAGCTAGGATATGGAACCAACCCAGGTGTCCCTCAGTAGATAAATGGATCAAGAAAATGTGACATATATATGTATACATACATATATATATATACATATATGTATATATACATATATATATATATATATATATTATACACACACACACACACACACACACACACACACACACACACACATAAACATGTACACAATGGAATTCTATGCCTCCATTAGAATTACATCACCCCACTTGTTAGGAAATAGAAAGACTTGGAAAAAATTATATTAAGTGAAGTAGGCCAGGCCCCCCCAAAACGTAGGTCTTATAGTTTCCCTTTTTTTCAATATCTAGTATATGTCTAGGACAAGAAGAAAAAATCAAAAGCTATGTACATATGACCATATAGGATGATGTTAAGTGAAATAAACCTCAAGATAGTAACTCAAGTACTTTTTTCTTCCTTGCTATTGTTTTTAACATATTTATAATGTACTATGTGATTTTTTTTGTTTCTCTGGTATGTTCTTCCTCCAGGGTATTACTCTGTATTCACTGTATTTGTTTCTGGTGACCTGCGTCTTATATGTACATAACAAGATGCTTAAATAAGGATACAGTTTAACCCATTGTAACAATGAGATGTACAAAACACTATGTTGAAAACAAACTTTACAACATTTGTGGTGGATGGGAGGTGTTGGGAAGGTGGGGAGGGAAGGGATGTTTGGGGAAAAAGAAAGGAGGAGGTGACAATGCTCACTAGGAAATGTGCCCACTACTTTACTCATGTAACTGTAAACCTTCTGTACAATATTTTTACACTAAAAATATTTTAAAAACAGCTTAAAGAATATATACTATGTTTCAATAAATTGAATGAGGATTCATAAAAGGCATGTTTTGAATTTTATTTTTAAAATAAAATGAGGGCTGGGAAGGTTGCTTAGGGGTAGAGTGATTGTCTTGCATGCATAAGGCCCTGAGTTCCATTACTCATCACCACATAAGTCGGAAAAAGCCAGAAGTGGTGCTGTGGCTCAAATGGTAAAGCACTATCCTTCATCTAAAGAGCTGAGGGACAGTGACCAGGCCCAGATTTCAGAGTTCAGGCCCCATTACTGACAAAATGAAAGAGAGAAAGAAAGAGAGAAAGAAAGAGAGAAAGAAGGAAAGAAAGAAAGAAAGAACGAAAGAACGAACGAAAGAAAGAAAGAAAGAAAGAAAGAAAGAAAGAAAGAAAGAAAGAAAGAAAGAAAGAAAGAAAGAAAGAAAGAAAGAAAGAGAAGGAAGGAAGGAAGGAAGGAAGGAAGGAAGGAAGGAAGGAAGGAAGGAAGGAAGGAAGGAAGGAAGGAAGGGAGGAAGGAAGGGAGGAAGGAAGGGAGGAAGGAAGGGAGGGAGGGAGGGAGGAAGAAAGTTGAGATAGTGTCCAGGGCCAAAGTTCAAGCCCTGAAAAAGTACCCTCTCACCAAACACAAAATCATACACAGGGCTGAGATTCAGCTTAGCAACTTACCATGCATGAGTTTTGATCCCTAAAACAAGGAAAGGGAGGGATTGGGTGAGGGAAGAGAGAGGGAGGGAGAAAAGGATAGGGAGAAATAACAGCATATAGAAAAGAGGGTAGCTCTGCATAATAAATGATATTCACTAGGGTACATGGTCAGGCAAACATTTTCTGTACAGGAACAGAGTAAGTACATCCAGGCCTTGGGAGTCACATGATATGCCCTAAGTATTCCATTCTTCTGTGGCAGTGTGACAGGGGACACAGATAAAATGAATGCATTGTAACTTTACTAACATTCACTGAAACTTGAATTCTATTTTTATTTGAAATACGGCTAGTGTAAATGTGTGTCTGAATTTTTAATTTTATGTAATTTTGCTTACTGTAAGTATTGTCACTTACAACTTTGTGGCTGGCTACTCCACTGAGTAGAACAAGTCTGGCCTCTGATGAAGTCTTAGAGCACCTCCAAAGTAATCCAGGAATACAAGCCACGGAAGTCACTCAGCTTTTTGGTAGTCACAGTAAGAAACAGTAAAATAAGAAAATAAATAAAACCTTCAATTAAAAACACCAAAGGAGCTTTAATAAAAATTCAGCAAAATTTATCTAGTATTTAAAGCTTAATCCTCAGATTTCAGCATTCTGAGTAGCTAGGATTACAAATGTGAACTACTCTCATGTGTTTGTTGGTTTTTTAAATACCAAGTCAGCCTTGTTACTTACCTGGCACTTGTTACTTACCTGGCAGGGGAGATACTATGATCATGAAGATGGTTTTCCAGGGCCAGGCTTATCTATTGCACTTCAGATGTGCTGACCCCTGCCTGACATTTCCCCAAATGTGGGAAATTCGACTGTATAATTTGTGGTAGTGGGGGACTGTGTTAGTTCTCTCCACTGGATAGATAGATAGATAGATAGATAGATAGATAGATAGATAGATAGATAGATAGATAGATAGATAGATAGATAGATAGATAGATAGATAGATAGATAGATAGATAGATAGATAGATAGCATTGTATTTTATATTGGCCTCATCTGCTTTCCTGCACTCAGCAGTCACTTGGTCCTAAGGACTACTATAAACGATGAGGTACCTCTAGGACTACTTTGTAGTTGCTAGGAACTACAAGGAGTAGAGAAATCAGCTTGAACTCACCATGAGAAAATAAATGAGGAAGTTGGGTGCAGGTGGCTTACACATGTAATCGTGAGATCTGAGGATTGCAGTTCAAAGCCAGTCCATATAGGAAAGCTCATGAGATTCTTATCCTCAATTAACCACCAGAAAACCAGAAGTGGGCTCTGGCTCAAGTGGTAGAGCACTTCACTTGAGCTGAAGAGCTCAGGGACAGTACCCAGAGTTCAAGTCCCATGACTTACAAATAAAAAGAAAGAAAACAAATGAGTGACCAGAGCCAATGGCTCATACCTGTAATTCTAGCTAGTTAGAAGGCTGAGATCTGAGGATCAAGGTTCAACACCAGCCTAGGAAGGAAAATCTATGAGATTCTTATTTCCAATTAACCACTGAAAACCGTAAGTGAAAATGTAACTCAAAGTGTTAGAGCACTATCCTTGAGCACAAAAGATCAGGGACAGGATCCAGGACCTGAGTTCAAGCCCCACAACCGACCAAAAAAAAAAAAAAAAAAGGAATGAGAAGCCACCTTAATGAAATAGCTAGGCAAGTACAATATACAGAATAACTCCTCCCTTCCTTCTTTTCTTCCTTCTATTCCTTCACATCCTTTCCCCCTTTCTATCCTAGAACTTAAACTCAGGGCCTCATGCACTTTAGGTAGGTACTTTACCAGATGAGCCATACACCTGCTTTTTTTGGCTTTAGTTATTTTTCTTTCTTTCTTTCTTTTTTTTTGGGGGGGTCCAGTCGTGGGGCCTGAACTCTAGGCCTGGGCACTGTCCCTCAACTCTTCACTTGAGCCACAACGCCACTTCTGGCTTTTTTCTTTTTGCTTATGTGGTGCTGAGGAATCGAACCCAGGGCTTCAGGCATGCAAGGCAAGCGCTCTACCACTGACCACCTTCCCAGTCCTCATTTTTCTTTTCTTGGTTATGTAACTTGAACTCTGTGCCTGGGTGTTGTCCCTGAGTTCTTCAGCCCAAGGTGAAGGCTCTACTGTTTGAGCCACAGTACCACTTCTGGTTTTCTAGTGGTTTATTGGAGATATGACTCTCACTGGGCTGCCTGGCCTGGCTCTGATCTGTGATCTTCAGATTTCAGCCTCCTGCGTGGCTAAGATTACAGGCATGAGCCACCTGCGCCTGGCTTGGCTTTAGCTATTTTTGTGGTAGGGTTTTATGTCTGTGACCAGACCAGCATGGACCATAATCCTTCTTTTTACCCTTTCTGAGTAGATGAAATAAGAAGCACAATGCATTGGGTTCAATATTGATTGAGATCCAATATTTTGAATGTTTTTCCTGGGCTAACATCAAATCATAATCCTCTCTGTATCTGTCAAGACCCAGCAGCTAGCATTACAAGTGTGAGCTCCCATCCCTGGCTCAAATTTCTGATGACTAAAACATCTGAACAGAGTTTTAATAATTTTAAATGTTGAATTTGGGGGCAATGGGTGCTCTTACTTGCCTAGTTGCAAATTGCACCAAAAATTCCAAATATTAACTTTTGATTTCCTAGAGTACATTAAATAAGCAGATAAACTTTAAAAAGCAATTAACTAAAGAAAAAAGCTAAACAGAATACATCCTTACCATTGTAACTTTGGAATAACACCTTGTCAATCATTGCTTCCATCATAGGTTTTTGTCTGGGCAGTATATTCCATACACGGATCATGCCACCCCCAAGGTTGTGGGCTAAACAGCCTATATCCACAGGAGTGAAAGCCAGGCTCTAGGCAAACACACCAAAGGAAGGCAGGGTCCAGCAGCATTGTACGTGGCAATGTCCCAACATATGACCCGAAGTTTTAGGGCAGCTTAAATAAAGCTTTTTCCTTAGGAATAATACTGTATTAAGGCATACCTCTTCTTCTGGGTTTATCACTGCTTAATTGGAGACAAGTCTCATGGACTTTCTGCTTGGGCTGGCCTGAAATCATGTTCCTCAGATCTCAGCCTCCTAAGCAGCAAGGATTATAGGCATGAGCTACCAATGTCTAAATTGATTATTCCTTTAATAAAAATCAAAATGGCTACAGTATGGTTTAACAGAGAGCTTGAATCCTTTTCTGAGCCTTATAAATTTTCTGACTAGAAGCAGAATGACAAACTGACATATGGGAAACATTGTACCATATTAAACCATTTTTCAGAAGAGTATCTGGCTCATCAGTTTGGCTCTTGTCCTCCTATTCTAATGGTGACTTTTCTGCCCGGGCTGGATTCAAAACACAATCCTTACATCTCAGCCTCTTGAGTAAGATTATAGGCATGAGCCACCTGTCCCTGGCACCATCCACATTTCTGTACAAGTGAATAAAACTCAGTGATATAGTGTCTACCTCTTTAACCCAAAGCAGGTAAGAAACCAAAATTGAATTTGAAATTCAGTTGAATATGAGTCTATATTCTTAACAACAGGGTTGTAAATTATTTGGTCTTTGCACAAGTGTCTTAGTAGATACAGCGCACATGTCATGATTTTTCTATTTCAAATGGTCCATGAGAGATAGCTCGGCATGGTATGGTAAGCCTGTAATTCCATCACTTGGGAAGCTGAAGCAGAAGCAAAATAAGTTCAAGGCCATCTTGGCTATGTAGTGAGATGCCATTTCAGAAGGGCAGGAAGTAAATGGCTCCTGATTATATAAGCCTTGGCAATTACTTTCCCATCTTCTGTGTCTACAAAGAGAAGCCTAAGAAGGCCAAACAGAAAACATGACCCAAAGACTAACACAAAACAACTGGATACCAGCTGTGTTGACTCATTCTTGGGCCAATAGAGTGTCAACCAAAGGCACTCTTGAACAGTTGAGTCTATGTCCCCTCCTCTTCTCTTCAGAAAGGGTCATTTCAAAATCATGATTCCTAGAAATTAAAAGACATCAGTGATATTAGGATTTCCATTCCAGCATATTTACAAGTCAGTGAACACTTAAGAAATTGGCAACTATACAATTAAGTGACTAGCAAGTGAAACATGGTACCTGAAGACACTAATAGTTCATAGTATATGGTCTGTGAATTAGAACTTATTAAATTTGCTACCATAGCTGCAGCAGGTGGAGTAACAGTTGGGGGAGGCAGCAGCAACCTTGGCTCCAGCCCCTTGACCTCCGGAGTGCATCATGGAACCTAGCAGCCCTTCACAAAGGCTGGGAGAGAAGAGAGCTGCCATGGAATGCTAGGATCATGCCTCTGGTGTGTCATGCGACCATCACCTCACTTCTGCTTCCTGGGTAGATGAATAGGGGCCGCATGCCTGTGTCACCTCACTCCTGCTTCTGGTCTGGGGGGGTAGGAGCCGTGTGCCTGCACCACCTCACTCCCACTTCCAGTCTGGGTGAGTGTGGGCTGCATGCCTGTTTCACCTCACTCCTGCTTCCACTCTAGGTGAGTGGGGGCCACGTGCCTGTTTCACCTCACTCCTGCTTCTGGTCTGCATGAGTGGGGGAGTAAGGGCCATGCTGCCTGTGTCACCGCACGACAGCCTCCGGTCTGGGTGGGTAGGGGCCATGTCCCTGCATCACCTCACTACTGCTTCCTGGCTGGATAAGTCTGGGCTTGGTGCCCTTGTCACCTTACTCTGTCTGCCGGTCTTGGTGAGTGGGGGCTGCTTGCCTGTGTCACCTCACTCCTGATTCCAGTCTGGGTGAATAAGGGAGTAGGTGCCATGTGCCTGTACCAACTCAATCTTGCTTCCGGTCTGGGTTGGTCTGACTGGCTGTGAGCTAATTACTATGTCCAGATGCTGTTTACCAGCCCACGCCAGACGTTAGACTTTTCCAGTTCTCATAACAAAGCATGACATTAATGGATTAGGATGGCACCTTGCTAGGTTTGAGAACCATGTTATTAAATTGTGTGTGTTTGCATGTGCACTGGTCTTGGGCCTTGAACTCAGGGCCTGAGGTCTATCCCTGAGGTATTTGATCAAGGTAGAGCTCTACTTCTTGAGCCACAACTCAACATATGGCATTTTTTTTGTGGTTAATTGGGACTAAAAGTCTCCCAGATTTTCCTGTCTGGGCTGGCCTTGAACCACTATCCTCATATCTCAGACTTTTCAGTAGCTAGGATTTACAGGTGTGAGCTACTGGTGCCTCTGTATTTGCTTGATTACCATCGAGAGAGAACTGTGCTTGGTAAGTGTTCTGGAGGAAAAAGAATTGAACTCTTCCAATGAGCAAAGGTGAAAATACTCCGGTTCTAGCCTGGCATTGGTGGATCAGGCCTCTAATTCTACCAATTCAGGAATGTGAAATCTGAGAATTGCAGTTAGAAATCAGTGTGTGGAGGACAGAGTTCTTGAGACTCTTTATCTCCAACAAACTATCACAAACCTGGAAGTGGCACTGTATCTAAGTGGTAGAGCACCAACCTTGAGGGAAAATGCACACAGACAGCACTCAGGCCATGAGTTCAAGTCCAAAGACCACAAAAAAAAAAAACAAGAAAAAATTGGGTTCTTCAGTAGAAGTTTATCATTATAAATATCTCTTTCCCATTACATTTAGATCTGTCATAGATGTATGAATCTTAGGGGAATAAGAAACTTGGCTAAAAAATATAGTAAGCATTGTGTGTGTGTGTGTGTGTGTGTGTGTGTGTGTGTGTGTGTGTGTGTGTGTGTGTGTGTGTGTGTGTGTGTTTGCCAGTCCTGAGGCTTGAACCTAGGACATTAATCTCTTGATTGGCTTCCTTCCATCAAGGCTGGTACTCTGCGACTTGGTACACAGTCCTACTCC